TGGAACAGTGCATTGATTGAGATGTCTTCATGTTTAAACAGTTATCAAAACATGTGTATGAATCCTAGCAAATTATTCAAAATCGAAAATGCAATTTATAATTGAGTTTAAATATTTCATATATATATATCATTGTTTCTTCAAAAATTTTATTTTAACATTTTAACATTTATGATTTTATTTAAAATATCTGTAGAATTGTAGTTTAATACATTGCATTTTTTGTGGTAATAAATTATGAATGCCATATCAAGTTTTCAGTGTGAAACGTATATCTGCAAAAATTTATATTACTCAATTATGAAGTAATAAATTATTATAAAAATCTCTATTTTTTTAATTAAATATATATCTGACGAAAATTTATTAACCACAAAATAATGTCTCAATATTTTTAATCTCTCTTTTTCTAAATTTACAATTTTGTTAAATTTAAAATTAAAATCATATCAATCTTAGATAAAGAATTTTAAAATTAAATTTACATATATCCAAACGAAAATTATTTATCAACTGCAAAATAATATCTTAATAAAGAAAAAAAAAAAAAGGAAAAAATTCGCAATGAATTCAAATTGGTAAATTTTCCAATTTTTTTTTTAATCATAATATCCGGGGTATAACTCGGTTGATTGGAGGCAATACTTTGGAATATTCCGTGATTGTCAAGGTATTTGCACGGTGCTCATAATTGTCCAGGATTTTGACCGACCGATTGAAGCGAGCTCTTGCAAGAGAACGCATCGGATGCCAATCACCGACGTCATGCATGTGTACATATCCCCAATGTTCGATGTACACATATCAATTTGCATTCAGTATAAATAAGTCGCGCGCATGTTGTGCCCTAAATGCGCCCGTACGGATAACTCGAATTTACCATTGCGGCGTAACGTGCAAATCAGCCGTCCGATAACAGCGACAGCATCTACCTGAACAATAATATTGTCCGCAAAACAAGTGTACATATGATTTATGTTCGTCGTGCCTGGTTAATAATGAGCACTATCGTGTGTATATCGTGTGTATATCGTGTATATATATTTTACCATTCTTTAAATTTCTTATATGGAAAAAAAAATGAATAATTACAATATTATAGAGTAAATAATTTATTTAATGAATATTTAATTTATGCTTTCAGAGAATTTTTGAATAATTTGAAGATATTTTTTAATTGTTTTTTTTTTGTATTAAAATTTATATGTTATAAGTTGATTACTAACTTTTTTTTTTTATTAAGAAAATGTCGCGTTTATTTAATACTTTTTTATTGTTATTTTAAATTGTTATTTTACATATCTATTGATAATTTTATATAATATGGAAATTTAATATTTTTAATAATCGTAATTTCTTATATCATATGCAGTGAAATATTTATTAGTTTCTGATTAATCCTTGATTCTTGGCACATTCATATTTTCGATAAATATTTTTCATATTTAAAAAAAAAAATTATTGAAATGAAAAATATACAGATAATTATATAAATAAATAAAGATTTAAGTTTTAAATACTTGAAAATATAGTAATTTAATCACTTCGTATTATTTTACTAATTTTTAAATTAATTGATTGATTAATAATTGGAGAAATTCACGATAATCGAGCTATTTATCTTATCAGATGTACGAAGTCATTTTCTCTATTTTTATTAGCTTAAAAATTTTTTTAATTTTTATAAAATTAAAATAATTTCAGTAATTCGTAAATTCTTCATTCATAAATTTTTCAATATCAATTATTTCTCATTTTATTCAGTCTTTATAATTTTTACAAAATATATTGATAATAAATTTCAACAATCATTGTTAATTTTAAATAATTCTAATCTAAAATATTTCTCTTTATTTTTGATATCACTAGCAGTTTTAATGTTTTATATATTTTAAATTTTAATTTTTATATATTTTATCTAAAAATAAAATGAATGCAAACAAAAACATGAAGAAGACGTTTTATTGACAACTATGATATTTATAAAATTTTTCTAAATTATATAGCATAATAAATGACATAATATTTCTAAAATTAAATTCTGTATATACGTTTAAAATTAAAAAATACGTTAATTAAAAAATATATAATATATATAAAATAATATTACAAATTTTTTATTATTTTATAATATAAAATATTATTGCAAATTGCAAAATTAAAAATATATGCATATTCATATTTATTTATATATTAATATTGCTTAAATAACGAACAAAAAATCGATAATATATGACAGAAATTTTCATTTTGGAAAATGAAGATAATAAATAAAAATATAAAAAATTTAGTATTATAAATAGTCTTCTATAAATATTCCAATTAATTCAATAATATTAATTAAATAAAACAAGAATTAAAGGAAATAATATTATAATTACTTTCATATTATTATTTATATTCTTCTGAAATAATTAAATATTTTAATTAATAATTTTCATATCATATTTTTTTCAAATTCTCTTTTTGTAATTATAATTGTAATTATAAAATTGTAATTTTCTCATAGATTAAAAATTGTTAAATATGATATTAATCATTTAATCAATTCAGCAATTCATTTCATCAAAGAAGTAAATTTATTCAAATCTTTTTTTTCTATATCAATTTATTTCAATGTAAAATATATATTCATTCAAAAATCTGATTTGTAGATCAAGAAGTTCGTTTCTTATCCCCTTTGTACGTTTGTGGATTTTATAGGGATATCCAAAGGAGAATTCGCGTAACAAAATGTATGCGCGTGTATCATTTTATCTGTGTAGAGTAGAATTCTTAAAACAACCAAAGCATCACGATGTTTTAAGGATTGCTATGCGAATTTACGGAGTGTGCGCTTTTTCAAATGTACACGGCGGAAATATTGAAGTTACGAAAAACTAAAGACGTTTTTAAAATTTAAATTCTAAGAGAAAATCGCGTGTTTCGTTACATTTAAACTATGAGAGACGCGATCATCTTTTCATATTTGCTCTTGGCGTTTTTTGGACAAACATATTATCCTTTTATAATAGGCTAAAAAATTTAATTTTTTCTTTTATATCTGAAATATTAAATTCGACAGTTATTTTTATTATTTAATGATAATATATTAATATATTAAAAAGTCAGCTGTTTTAAACTAATTGATTTTTTTAAAAATATCTTTATTAATCCTTTGATAGTAAATAACTTTGAAAATATTTTGAAATTTTTTTTAATACGAATAAAATAATTTCAAACATATATTTATTTCTTCTTATTTCTAGTTTATGTTAATTATTTATTAATATAAAACAATGAAACTTGCAAAATGGTGTACACATTATTATTAAAAACATAAATAATAAATATTCCATTAAATATATTCCATAATCATGAAAGAACAAAACAGAATCTAAAAATATCCAAAGAATGTATAATTAATGAATAATTTTTTTTAGAATAATCAAATAATTTAATTTCAAAATTTATATAATTTTTCTTCACTGCATTTATAAGAAAATGTACAATTTATATTCATGAGTATACATAGAGTATACATAGTTTATGAATATTATCTTATAAAGCATAAATGATAAGATTGAAACAATGTATGGATTTCTATTTTATGATAAAATGAGGACAAATTTCAACCACCTGTCGCGTTCAGAAGGTCTAATCAGTAACTTAGCAGATCGTCGCGTCCACCTGTCGGATTTCCTCGCGAAATGTCCGACACATTGCTAATTAATTGTCCGCAGTTTCGATCAGTCTAGGCACTATTAAATTAGGTTGCGTGCATCGCCTATGAAATTCGATGTCGATGCGTTTAACAATTTCGCATTATCCTCTATAATTACACACATAATTACATAATGAATTTAAAATTCAACATTTTTGCTTCTTAAATTTTATATTTTTACTTATCTATTCTTTTTTGATAATTTTTCATAATCTTTTAATATTTCTTATCGTATTTCATATCTTATTTATATTTCGTATCTTTATTCAGAATTCTTTTTTCTTATATTGATAGTAGAAGATAAAAAAAACGAAAAGTATTCTTTTTTTTTAAATATGCTGTTTTTTTTTATTTTTGAAATTTTATATTTTTTCTAATGATAATTAAATGTTTAAATAAAGTATATATATTTAAATTAATTTTGAATACATTTTTATTTTTTATCTTTTTATATTATTTATAATATTTTTTATTATTAAAAGTGAAAAGTGAAAATATATGATATATATAAAAGTGAAAATAGTAAGAAAGTATAGAATAATAAAGTATAGTAAAGAAAACTATCATAAAAAATGATCATTTTTTACGAACACTGTGCTTACTTTCACTTGAAGATTGAGTAAGACATCTCCCTCCTTCTCTGATCAGTATTCATTTCTTTTCTTCGTTCCGATCATGGAATTCTGAACAAGCTATTCTTGTTACATCGGTGATCGTCACGATTGTCAGTGTCCTCGATATTCTTTTTCTTCGTTTCTATTCTATCGTCAATGCCGTTATACTATATCATATAAAATTATACGATATATTTTGAACAAAATTAGAATTGTAAAATTTATTTTCTTCGTTCATTTTATTCAAATTTTATACAAATTTTTTTTCAATTTTTCTTCTATTATTTTTGTTTAATCATAATTGATTGAAATATAAAATAGCATATAAAACAAAATAATAATATATGTATCGAAAAAGAATAAATAAACATAAATAATTAATTAAAAATTAATATTTATTGATAGTTATTTATAAAATAATAGACAATAATTTTATTCTTAGTAAAATTTTAAAACAACATTTTAAATTTCATGGGAAAGTGAATTGAAATGATTTGAAAGACAAGATTATATATAATAATTCAGATTAGAAAGAGTATGATCTTATTTCAATGATAAAAACTATTATTGGAAAAGGTTATGTCTTAAGATCGATCCACAGTTGTCGTTAGTACGAAGCATTGTGTCGTGAAAAACACGTGTATTCGTCTACTGCGCATCTTGTCCGCGCAGTTAACCGCAGACCATGGTCAGTGACACAGCTTGTTGATCGTATGGTAAATTTTTCCAATTATTTTGGTAAATATTATGGATAATTAGTGTACTGTATAACAAAGTTTTTCCGATGAAATTCAAAGATATGTTATTTTTTTTATGTGTGTCGTTTCTACTAATAATAGTACATGAAAGGAGAAAATAAAATGCGACAAGTGTTTCAAGCGAAAGAGACTACATCTTGTGTCAAAATAGTGCAGGTAAACATATAAACGATCTTTTTTAATGCGAATTTGTATTTAATTATTAAATATCTACTGAATGTTTAGATATAATTACACATACACACACACATATACACACAATTATTACATACATTGTTCTTAAGTTTTTAATTTGTTATGTGTATACGTAAATTATTTTATATATTTCAACGTTATTCTGTATGTCAATTTTAGTGCATGAAATTTATTATATTTGAAAAAAAAAATGGCGAAAAAAGCGGTTTTATAAAAAGAAATAATATATAATAAAAAGAAATAAATTTTTTATTTTTCATATTAATTTTGAAATGATTAATATATTCTTTTATAAGTCTAGATATATAAATATATATGGTTTTAATAATAAATAAGTAATATTTAATATATTTGCAATCAATTAATAATAAATTAAAAATGTTACACAACTACATATTCAAAAGTATTATAGAAGAAATAGAGTTACTTTATTGCAATTTGCTGCAAAAGTTCGTTCTGTCATATCAAAAGATAAAAGAAATTTATGGCAAGATAATTTTTATGATCCTTATTTAAGATAATCGTAAGTCAGACTTAAATCTGTATTATTGAATCATCTAGTATACTCATTAATTAATTTTTTTTTAGAAATGATATTTGAAATTAAATAATTTATAATAATTATTGAAGATTATAATACAATGAAATAAAAATTCTATTCATAGAAAAAAAGTTTTATATTATTGCTCCAAAAAATGAAATATGTATATTCATTCAAATAAGCATTTGAAATATTTATTAACATGACTAAAGATTTATCGATATTTTGTCATAAAATATAATAATATATATTTATTGTTATAGAAACATTGAAATATTTTTATTTTTATATTTTATTATATATTATATATTATTTTATTTTTATATTTTTTCTCAATCAAAATTAAAATATACCAAAGAACAATGTATGCAAATATTACAAGTTTAATTTATATTGATTATTAATTATGAAAGTATGTAACATTGAAATGTTACAGTGCTTGTTATAAAAAAAATAAAATTACATAAATATTTATAACATAGATTCCAAGGCATAATTAGTTACGAGATTCAAAGTGGAAGTGAAGTTTTGACGACTTTTCGAACAAATTCTCTTCGACGATTACTTCGTTCAATGATGTATTTCTAGTTTCTTTCTACCTGCTCGAGCAACATAATGTAAGTAATAAAAATGATATCATTGTATTTTATATAATCTTAACACGTCATACTATTCACTTTCTGTAACTATTGAAAATGTTGCGTTTCATGTAAATTATCTAGATAAAAAAATAATTTTAATTCTCAAAATATCAGTTTCTTTTATATATTAATTTTTTTATATGAAAGTGATTTTCTAATGATTATATATAAGAAAAATTGGTAGCAATTTTTAATTCTAATTATATTATAATTTTATTATAATTATAATATTATAATTTTATTAATTTTAATAGTTATATACTATAATCTAATATTAATATAACATATTGCAATAATTGTCATATATACTATAGAATTTTTTTATTTGAAATCTACTTTTCAAATTGATTAAAATAATTACTTAAAATAGTTAACAGAATAGTTAATAGAATAATAGAATTATGTATTATTTAACATTGGTACGATTTCAATTCTTTCAATGCTCTCTAATTTATACATTTGTACACATTAAGCTTAACAGCTATAACAATAATAACAATATTAACACATATGCGTCAAGAGGTTGCTATTAAAAGTAAATTTCCATTACAGTTATATAAAATATATTTCTTAATAATTATTACAAATTAAATTTGCTATATAATAAATTAAAAAAAAAATAAATTGCACAATAAATTGAATCTGTTATATCACGTGAATCTTTCTTTAATTATAGTATTCATAACAACGTGTGTTCTTTTTTTACTAAAGATGATCGTGACCAGACTTAAGATATTGTTTGCGGTTATATAAACGAATAATTATATATATACGAATAATTATATCGTGCAGTGCATACTATAGTGATCATATTTCACAGAATTTAGCCGACAGTCTGTGAATTGCAGACATCCAGGAACCTTATCTGTGGATACATGTCTGCAAACAATATCCATGAGTCTGAACATGGTCCTATGTGTAGGGCGGATATTAACAAACGAAACTCGGAACGAATAATAATGCCAATTGGCATCGTCTGTATGTACTAAAGCTCGATGCAGATGAGCAATACGATTTTACACTGATAACATTGCGTCAATAAATGTGAAAATATATAACCACAACGAGTTTAATTCTAAATAGAATGTAATATGTACAATCAATAATTTTTAGTATATTTAATATATCTATTTTGAAGAAATATTAAGATAATAAATTTAAATTTCTATATTATTATAATAGTAAATATATTTTGAATACATTTGCATATAATGAGGAAATGCAACATGTTGTACTACAATTTGTTATGTTAGTGTTTGTTTATTTATTTTTTTATCACAATTAGAATAGAATTGTTAATAAATATCGTTAGAAATTTTTGATTAGATTTAGGAATTCAGTATCATTCAGAACAAAATATTAAATCTAATATTAAATAATAACATATGAATAGTCGATCAAGTTTAATTATTTTTAAATTTTGTAAAATCATATATTTTTATAAACATTCGTAATTTATTCATAATAATATGTTGTTGCATAATTACTATAACACTGAATAAATTTTTCTAAAAAAAGTTTCAATAGCGAATATATAAACAGGAAAATATTTATTTTTTATAATTCAATTAACTTTATTGATTTTTTTTTTTTTTAGTATTTTTATTTCTCTATGTGATACAGAATTTAAATATTTCAAAATATATTATATTTATTTAAAATATTTCTTTTATTATTTTTTATATTTTTATATTTATATTTTTATATTATTATTTTTTTATTATTTTCATATTTTTCGGTTTTATTTATTTATTTTAGGATTTAAATAATTACTTATATATATAACTTTAAATATATGTTTTTTATTAAAAATAATAAAATGAAAAAGTAAATTATTTAATATATGATAAAACTTTCTACTTTCATACTATATTTATACAAACATTCGCAACTTTTTTTATTTTTATTCTATTTATATTCTAAATAAAACCGACTTTCTTAATTATATATTTAAAGAAAAATGTAAAATCTTAAAGCATTGCCAATGCAAAATCACATCAATATCGTATAATTCATCCATTTTTAATCAATCGAAATCAAAAATATCATTGTACACCGCATTTGTTAATCTCAATCTTGCCACTCGATATTTCCTTTCTTTTAAAGCCTTGACAAATCCATTCAATGGGCAAGTCCCGGATGCTTATACAATATTGGACAACTGTCGTACAAAATAGCAAGCGTTGCATCTGCGATCGTCCAGCACATCTGACGGCAATGCGCATCGGCGAGGATGGTAATACATGCAGGTGTTGATCCCATTTCCGGCTGTGAAGCGGTTAACGCTGCCATGAGTCACGTGCGTTTGATTTACTCTTCTGCTTGCACATTTCCCTCTCCTTCTCTCTCCTTTCTCTCTCTTTCTCTCTCTCTTTCGATCTTTAAATTCCTCTGTATTTCTGTCTCTGTATTTCTCTTTTTCTCTTTCTCTTAATTATTCCTTTTTATTCCTTTGTCTCTCTATCTTGTCTCTTTCTCTCTGTTGTCTCTTTTATTCTCTCTCTCTCTCTCTCTCTCTCTCTCTCTCTCTCTCTCTCTCTCTCTCTCTTTCGTTTGTCGTAGTTCTGTAGATAGTTTGGAGAATTCCGTTAAATCATGTTAGGTTATATCGGGTCAGAATGCTTCCATGTATCGCTTCATCCTCGTTTTTCTATGACTAACTGGACGGTCATCGATGTTCTTGCATTTTCTGTCTATGTGTGTGATGTCGTTAATCACATTATTTAATATGACAAGTCAATTCGAAGTTTAATAGAATTTAATTTGCAATATATTTCGTTGATGATGGAATTGATCATTTATATTTTAATAATGTTTACAGTTTTATATTGGATTTGTAGAAAAATATATATTGTAAGAAAAATATAATGTTGCTGATAATTAGTAAATTAATTTTATTGGAATAAAATGATATTAAATTTATTTTTGAAATCATATTGAATAAAATTTAAAAATTTAGGGAAAATATTTGTTTAAGATAGAGTAATTGGAAGTTATCAATTGAAATAATATTTTTTTTTAGATTCGCGAGAAATAATTGTTTGAAATAACATCTTAAGTTTATATTCAGATTATTTCAAATATTATTTTAAATTCTTCATTATAAATCTGCGCGAATTTCTCTTACCACTTGAAACTTAACTCATTCAAGTAAGAATTTAGCTATACCTTTAAATATACCTTTTTTAATCGACTATTACGAAGATTGTACAAACCGCAATGCAATTGCATCGAATGCTGCTATGACTATTAATCCTTGAACTGACATAAGAAGACTATTAAACACACCGCCAGTCCCAAGGGTCTAAAAATTACCCAGCAAATTGTGTCTATATTAAATTCTCTATATCCATTATATAAGTCGTGAATATCAAAAGCAAACTCTATCCTTAACTTATCTCAAAAGGTTTACTTTTAAAAGAGATAGCTTATATCTTTTATGAATATATGTACGTATATATATATGCGTACATGTTCCTTTGTATCAAAATATATATATATATAACGTTTTACAATTTTAAGTGCGTTAGTTTATCAAGCTTTACTCTCTTTCTCTTTTATATCAGTTATCTAAGCCTGTTTTCTTTTTCATTCACGATAGGAGAGAGATAGAGAAGAGAGGATAGCGAAAAGTTCAATATGTATAAAGTCATTTAAATTGAATTCCACATACGTAAATTGAAATAAAATACTGAAGTTGAGATATTTCAGGTTTTTTTTATATAATATCCATGATATTTATTATGGAATATAATATTATTTGTATAATCATTTTGGATTTATTTTAACGAGCATGATTTGTTTTAAATATATTTTCACATAATAATCATTTTATTAATGTTTGATATAATATTGCTTTCTAGTCAATAATTGGACAAATTTTAATTATTAATTTATTTTTTCTCAAAATTCTTAAAAATCTTAAGACATTTATTGTGTTTAATTTTTAAAAAATATTTCAAATTTTTGATGCTCGATTTTTAAAATTTGTCAAAAAGTTTAAGAAACATTCAGTAAAAACTTTAAAATTAAGAAATAAAATACTTTTGTTTCTCATTATTAAATAAAAAAATATATGTATATTTTATGTCTATAAAATATGTTATTTATGTATAATAAATGTTTAGATTCAAAAATAGTTAATTTAAAGTTTTTTTTTTTTTTAAAACAATCGACTACTTAGAAATATTTATAGATTTCTTTTTATTATTAGATATATTGCATAATATAAGTAATCAAGTGATACATTTATTATTGTCTTTTTTGTAATATATTTATATCTAGGACACAGTATTTATTAAAAATACACTTAATCGATTTTTTATTTTTTGAAAGCAATAAAAACTAATTCACTAATTTTCTTTTTATTTTCATTGTTACTTGAAATTATTTTAATATTTTGTTCACAATCAAATTTCGATCAATACGAAAAAACATTGTTATACTTAAAATACATTGAAAAATAGAAAGTATATTCATTCTCACGAAAACTTTTATATTAGTTATTAATCGATATAAATATCCTATAATCCGAATTTAACCAGTATATTCGAATCTACTTACCTGCTCAAACCCATCACTACTGGTTTATTCATATCCCAAGAGATTGAGATATTCTCTTGGCGGCAAACTGGTGTTAAGTTATTTCAACTGTACAAAGCGAAACTGATTTCGAAATTAAACGTACCTATGGGCAAGAAAGGTCGTCGAGAGTGGGAATTGCGTTTTCACGAATGAACGCGGAGTGGAAAACCGAGTGTGGTGTGAACGACTGGCCTGGGAATTAGGCGTATAGATGCAGCTGTCTCCTTTCAAAGTGGCTGTTGTTAACTTCGACGAGCGAGTATTTGTAGTTCTCGTCACTGGCAACTTGAAGGGTTTCATTGTTTTTTAATGCGCCAAAGAAATGGAGGAGAGGATTTCATGTCTATTCGAGAATTCTCTTTTTAGAGGGAAATTTCTAAGTTTCCGCGATATCGTAGCAATTGTTGAGTTATTTGTCATTGTTCCAAGCACATTCTTGATCACTTGAATAAGGTATTACGTTGTGTTATAACGGATTATTCGTGGAACGACTGTCTCGAGTATTATTGATGTTCAGTTTTTGAAGACAGTGAAAAGCGAGTATATACATTTTGAAGACATTTATCTATTTGATGAATTTTAGTTTTATGTTGCGTATATTGAAAATTGATTGGAATCGATTAAATAATTATTAATATAAATAAATATTACTTTTGTAAAATGTATATTCAGATTGTCACTGTACATGGATACATAAAGTATTGTAAATTTGCAGATAATTTTATTTTAATTTATTTTTTGAAAGTATTTTATTTTGTATTAAAATATTATATCGTATTTAATATAAAATTTTTCAGACTACTATTTTAAATTGTAAATGAAGATAAAAAAATATCTCATATTCATTCATTATTTCACAAATATTTTCAATATATTTTGTACAATAATTTATAATTTAATAAATAATACAATATATTTGCAAGTATAGTTTCATTATATATAATTGAATAAATATTTAATAATTTTAATAATTGTAATTTATAAAATTTATTTATAGGATTTCATTTATTTATGCAAAAAAATTTATTAATATCATAACTTTTGCAATAATTTGTAAAATTATACAAAAAGGCTTAAAATATTTCTTTTTTTTTTATTTTTATATTAAATTTATATTCCTACAAAAAAGAAAGATTTCTTTTTAGAATAAACAAAATTTATTTCATTATGAGATTCACTAACTATAAATAAAAATGTATTTTACTTTATTGTATATTAAGATCCCATAAAAATCTTAAATTTCAATTTGAGCACATTTTTAATGTGCACATTTTCGATTCAATTTCAAGAAATTTTGAAAAATACATTGATAATAATATATCTTCAAAATAAAATCTGTTTCAAAGTTTTTTCCCCAAAAGTTCATAAATGACTCGAAATATGCAATCGGATATATGATTTTATATGATTTTCTCTTACTGCATCACAATTACAGCATATTTAGTTGGTTTCTTTCTTTATCTTGATGATCTTTTAACGAGGTAAGTTTTAACAGACAGATCGATATTGTCAAGCTTTACTATTGGCGGGGTCGCCACTTCGTTATTTATTCTTCTGATTTGAATAAAGCCACCGGAAATGTCTTCGTGCCATCCCCGCAAACACTTGGTGACTTCGGCATAGACTTTATAATGTTGCAGTTGGTACGCGATACTTTCACATAATCCTCGCTCGTAGAATTCTCGAAACTTTCTCGTTATCGATTCCAAGATTTTGTCTATACTTGGAATTCTAGGTAGCTGTTAAGATCTGAAAGCAGAATTCTGAATCGAAATTTCCGTTAGCTTATATATGTGTATTGCGAAAAATAAAAGAAAATAAGAAAATGGCTAAATGATAAAATTTAAAAAGTTTGAAAAAAATATAAACAATTATTCATTAAAATTAATTATATTAATAGAGTAATAAAGTTGAAGAAAAATTAAAATTTCATTAAAAAAGATATATAAGAATCAGATATATATATGAAACATCTTGATTAAAGAAAACGGAAATTATTTTTAACTCTTTGATAAAAAAATTTATTTCTAATTTTTCAGAAAATCGATAAAAAAGATCTGGCAAGTTAATTTTTGAGGCATCGTAAAATTTTTGAAGTTTTAATTTTTTCTTTTTTCTTTGAAATGTTTCCAAATATTTTTCTATTTTTTAATTCATATTTTTATTATATCATCATACTTTTTCCTTACTTTTATATTATAAATTTATTTTAAGATATTTTAAAATTAATATATAAAATGTCATAAAATGATTTATTTTAAATCTCGTTCCTTTATTCAAAATTGAATAAGAAATATATTATTTGTTGAAAATAAAAATTAAATTAAATAACAAAAATTAAATTATTGAATAAAAATCTATTAAATCAACAAAAATAATTTTTATCTTAAATCTATCTTAAATCAATTAAAAATAATTTTTAAATGATTCAAAAAAGTTTTTCAATCATTTTTATTTGACATTAAAAATCAAGAATAATATAAAAAGAAAAAGAAAAAAAAAGAAAAATCTTACTTCTACTACATTTTCTAATATAATATACATATACTTCTTTTTCTCATTACACAAACCCTCTTATATCCCACAAGTCTTTCAAAATTATCTAAATAATCTCTAAACGCTATATGCACACCGTCAATTCTTAAAAAATTCAACGCGACAAACGTAAGAACGAGAGATCGAGAAGTAGTGTAAATAAGTGTAAAGTAAAGTGTGAGTAAAGTAAAAAGAATCACCACGGTCCACGGTCACGGAAACCGCGGGGGGAATTACATTTTCCCCTTGGCCGTTCGTCAACGGCGATAACGAAACTCGTCTCGATTTTCCAAGCAGGAAAACTCGTGGTGGTCCCCCGTCCGCTCCGTT